ATGGATTTTTCTGTACTCACCCTGCTAAGTTTTTTCTGCAGCATCTGTTACTGGCTATTGCAGGAAGACAGAGGAATCTGGCTCTGATCCTACATAACCCATTTGATGCTTTTATCCCTGGAAGGGAACTCCACAGCTCTCCAGCTTCTCCCTCAAACTCAACTTTTAAACACACTCTGCTGAACAAGTCGACCATGCTTTTAAACCAGCAAGGTATTTATTTCAGTGGTAGGAGGGAAAAAAAGTCTCAAAGTGATTTTGGGACAACCATTCTGCGTGCTTGCAGCCCAGAAAACCCAGAAGTCAGCTAGAAAGACTGTGTGGTCAGAAATGCTCCCCAAAATCCCTGGTCTCACCTTAAGAGCATTGCAGTGGGGTTTTTGTTTTGTTTTGTTTTGTTTCAAGTTTCCAAGCTCAGTTCAAGAGGACTAGAGCCAGGAAGCTTCATGTTCAAAGCTGGCGGCTCAGCCATTGTCTGGACTTCAAAGGATGTATCAGGGGATGTTTATCATCTTCCCTCTGAACTTTCCTTTTGCTTACCATACTCTTAAACTCAAGCATCCTTGTAAGGCAGAACTAGAACTACATGCACTACTACAAATCAAAGGGTTATTCATAAACACTGATTTATAAACATTAGAATACTACAAATATAGAAGAAAATAGTAGGAAATATAAATATTATCATCGTGTGACAGAAGTACACTTCTTTCATCCAGTTAACAGAGACAGTTGCCTTAAAACTGCACTGGTTTATTGCACTGTTCTCCAGTTAGCATTGCATGGACTCTCAACTGTGCAAAGCAGGATGCTTGGACGACTAAAGTCACAGGGCTCCCCTTTTGTCACTTCTAAAGAAAAATGTTTGAGATAAATGTTGATTCATGCTAGGAAAGGGACTGAGTCCCACAAGACACAGGCTGCTGGGAAGCTGCGCTGTATCACCTGCCTTGATCTTTGGGCTCTCACCTTATTCCTGATCAGTTGTCCCAGCATCAGTAAAACTCTTTCCTCCTTCCTCATAAGTTTGCCTGAGAAAGATTAAGACCAAAGATTTCATTACTGTCCAGGAAATCCCACCAGATCCTGCCACCCCCTCTTTCACTTTGCCCTGACACTAGCTTGGCCCCCTCAGTGAGACCATTCAGCTCTCTGAACCGGCTAATTTAAGAAGGAAAACTAAAACTTATTATGTGTCTCCTGACACTTTGGCATTCCCCACAGGGACAAAGTTGTGCCAGAGTCCTGCAAGCAGGGGACACTCAGAGCCTCTGTTTACCTAAGGAAGTAAGGAAGAAACATTTATTCTGAAATACTGGAGGTGTGTGGTAGGAGAAGGGGAAATCTCTCCAACATTAGTCATTTGAAAACAGAAATCAAGGCTGAAGGGCTTGAAACGTTGATGGTTTATGATGTGATGCAACAAACCACCCAAGTACACCCACACCAGAGATACTGCGTCTGCACAGAAATAATTGTACCTCAAACATCAACATCTGCTCCTGGGATACATCTTGTCAGTTGTGTTCACACATGGGAAGGCTCCAGCATCATGAAAGCAGAGGAAGACGGAGGTGGGCAGTCACACAGGCTGAGGTACTGCAGAAGCCATGAATGCGAAGTCTGGGAGATTTTGCTGTCTCCATTTCACCCTTTTGCTGGAAAATTACCCTCCCACAACACTGCTTTGCTCCTTATGGAGACAGTCAGCTCAAGACTGTCTTAGGAAAAAAAAAAAAAAAAAAAAAAAAGGACAAGGTGGAAACTGTGAAAATGCCATCAAAGTGGCCAAAGAAGGGTGCATGTGATGAAGAGCCTAGATCCCAGTCAAACTACCAACCCCTGCAGGTGTCCGTGATGTGCCAGCATTGATGGTCAAGCACCAGAACAAATAACAAGGTTACTGAAAAAATCAGAGTATAACCAGCTGCTGAAAACACCCAGTGTTACTGCTTCCCTGTCAGCTCCCCCACAGGCAACGAAGAAACTGAACCAAAAAAATTCTCTTTGACGTCAGAAGCAGAAAGTCCCTATTGAAAGCGCTTACGTTGGGGAACCATGGTCTGACCTCCACCTCTTCCAAAGGGTCAGCCAAGCACTTCCCAACCTGCAGCAGTTCCGGTGAGGCACTCAGACCACAGATGCTTGGCTGACGAACAGAGAATGTCAGTATGCACAGGCAGGATACAGCTTAGCCAAGATCCAACAAGAATGGATGCACCTCTAAACCAAACACGGAAGGAGTGGCCAAAGCTGGTACAGGAGGACGAAGGGAAGGTGTCAGGGCAGTGGCACCAAGGAGGGACCACAGGGAACAGGCAGGTGGGAGAAAGTGCCTCACAATTTGCTCACAAAGAACAGAATCTGTCAAGTTCAGCCACTGACGAATCAGTGCCTGGACTTAGCTACTTTCCCAGTGGATACCAGCATCTCCCAGAAGCATTTCAGTTTTGTTCAACACATGCCTTGGGATATAGGCTCCTCCAGTGACTGTACAAGGCTCAGACAAGAGATCTCGCACTCCATCCATCCCCATAAGCCACATTTAGGCCGCTAAGCCCAGGCCAAAGTGCATGTGCCTCCTGCAGCCTCACCCCGGCTGGTTTCTCCCCTGCAGCAGAGGCTGTGCTGGCTGCCAGAATCACTTTTATCTCAAAGCTGAGAGACAGGAGGCACTCGGCCATTAGAGCAGGCGGGAAGGCAGCGTTCACCTGGCTGCTGCAGAGCCAGTTCTGAGGAACTCTGAGCTTCTGCCCTCCTACAAAAGCTCCTGCAGCAAAGTTTCCCTTCCTCCTCCCCCATCACCAGCCCTGCCAGGCAGAGCCTCTCTTCCCATCCCTACATCTCTAAATTTGTCTGGTGGTTGAGCACGTCTATTCTAGGCAGCCAAAGGCAGGAGAGATGAAGGAAGCAAAGCGCACGCATCAGTCGTGTCGTGAACAACATTTGGTGCCAACTTCTTCTCTGCTATAGCCAGTTCAGACAGCAAGCGTGTCTGATGCGGTACTCCCAGC